CACACACACACACACACACACACACACACACACACACACACACACACACACACAATTAATTCAAGTGAAAGCAAAGCCTCATGTGGGTCTTTTTTTATCAAGGGAATAGCCTGTGTTAAAATATAAAACTACACACATCCTTTTTATATTTATACAAGTGAAAATAAAACCTATTTTTAATGTGAGGTCATCATAACCTCAGACACACAGCATCTACAGGCAGTGAACAATACTGCAGTGCAGAATGAATGGCTCAATAACAACAGCAGTGAGAGGACAGGCCAGATGTAATATTTCACTTTACCATTCACCCACAGTTTTTCATCTTAGTGTTCATGTTTTTGTTCCATCATTAGGACTTAATCTGGTCTTCAAACCCAGTAGTGATTATACAAACTAAAGGCAGTCAACAAAAGTAAAGGTTAGAATTAAGACTGAGTTAAAGTAAGGTTTGAATTTGTCTGAATGCAGTGGAAGTCAATACAATGTCCTAATAAAAACAGAAATACAGGTTTGTGAGTATGTGTGTGTGTGTGGGTGGGTATGTGTGCTACCTGGATCTGGCAGGCTGCCTGGATGTGGTAGATGGTGTAGAAGGCCTCCTCCACAGATTCCCCCAGAGCCACAATGCCATGATTCCTCAGCACTAAAACCTGAAAGGCAAACAGAAAAAAAAAGTAAATGGTGTTTGTAATAAATGCATCTGAGCTGTGAGCAGCAGTACAAGCTTCAATAATTAATCCGGTGTAAGGCCACATCACCCTACAAAGTCTCTGTATTCGTTCTGAAATCTAATTGTCATGTAGGCGCCGTTGTAGAAGCAGCAGCCAGACCAGTCTCCTGGGGTCTGCTCACCTTACAGGTGGGCCCTAAGCTCTTCTGCAGCTCCACTCGATCATTCTCCTCCTCCATGACTCCATTATAGTCGTAATAGGCCACGTCGCCGACCAGCAGAGCCTCGTGGGACAGAGGCAGCAGGCCRCATTTCATCGCTGAAACCTGGAGACAGTTTACTGTCAGCTTGGAAAAGTAACGGCGGAGGCTCACCTTCATAGTGTGACTCAGCAATCTGAGTCAACAATACTCTGATAGAACGCAAACAAAATGTCATTTTAGAACAAAAATACCTTTGTCATAATGTGAAATTAATTTAAGTTTTTCAATAAATTAAAATATACAGCAAAAGAGTAAAATGCCTCATCTAAAAGAGTCAGGGCAGATGTAGCTGAAGTAGTGCTGCATTTCATTTACCTTGGAAGTCACAACTATGTGGGAAAGATGTAAGAATAAACACGTTTTGGCTAATTGTTGCTAACTATTGGCAATGAAAGTTAAAATTATAATGTTTTAAATAAGTATTCAAATATTAGCAGAGATACTCCAACTCTGCGTTTGCACCTGTTCTAATGTTACAAACTGAAAAAATAAATAAAAAAATCATCGCCCATCACTGAACGGTGCCTGTTTCTGCATTCGTTTATTTTTTGTTTTGGCAAAATACCTTGTGAATAAGTTGACAGAGTTTAATAAAACTTATATTATTTGAGTCAACCCAATTCAAGACGTCCACCACAGCCAATCAACCTTGACCAGCACAACACATATCAAAAGCATTTTCAGTTTTACAGATCCTGAGCTAAAATCGGGTAGTTAGTTAGGGCTGCAAAGATACACAAAGTTCACGATTATTAATGTCATGGTTCAATATTTTTTCAATGCAGAAAATATAAATGTCAATGCTCTTCTTGACTTGTAATTTATTTAAATTATTTATGAACATTTGTTTAACCTCAAAAGTACAGTTTTTTAATTAAATGTTGCTGAAACAGCAAGTTTCTCAGTGGATCTGTGCTCAAAAATGCAGCCTAGGTGGAGTASTCGAACACAGATCCACTGATCCTTCAACACAGAGCATCTTCAGAAGACAAGCTGATAAAATAAACTTAAAAAATCTGTATTGTTCCATACATAGTGTGTAGTGACCAGTTTCATACAGATACATGTTGTTGCACCCCTAATGTAGTGACTGAAGGTCATTTACCGGTAATCTGAGTGCTAACACATCATGCGCATCATCTTGAGATATTGCATGAAACTGTATTAAGATATTTTCAAGGTTTTACTAAAATGGTTATAAATTGTCATTTTTCAACATGAGATGATCTTAATTTAAAACCTTYGAGCTTAAGGTTATTGAGAAACCTAAACTTTCCAAGTTAGAAAAATAACTTTGGAGGGAGTTTAGGTTAATTGATTAAACTTGGAAATTCTGGAGTTTGAGTCTGAATGCAACACATCCGTGTCTCAGTCGGACTCACTGCTGTTGTAGCTGGTGTGTGGAGGTGTAGCAGGCAGCGGACATCAGGCCGAGCAGAGTAGATGGCTGAGTGCAGGCTGAACTTCTCAGTGTCAACCTGTAGGTTGGTGCTGCCCTGTTCCACCACCTCTCCTAGAAGATTCACCTTCACCTGTACAACAGAGCYGGTGTCAGGCTCGCATAAAGCAGGATTTGCTGCTTTTGATTCCAAATTTGTATAAAAACTTGTCTTTCATCATTAATGTAGGACTGTTAAAGCAGTTTATGCATAAAAACCCAAACTCTTCCTCACCAGACTGGATCCAGTCACTTCGCTGTAGGCCAAACCATCTGGAAGCACCAAGAAATGTTCCTGTTCTTTACTCACACGCAGCTGCAGGAGGGGAGGAACACCAGTAAGAATACAGGACAGCTACAGCAGCCCAGTAAAGGCAGGAATGATATGTAAAACTAACCGTGAGGCAGGTTTGGCTGATTTGGGTCCAGCCGTAAAGGTCAAACAGTCGATGGGTGCTGGCTAGCTTGCAGCGCATCAACCTCTCCCCCTTCGCCAAGCTGCCAGGGTCCCATCCATGCAGGTCATTAATGGGCGTCACCATCATCATGTCTGTGAGGAAGAGGGAATTACAATCTCTAGGAAGAGTTCACAATGGAAAGGAACAAAGCAAGGTCATTTAATATTACACATTTTAATGAATGGCTGCTCTTCTGACACTTACTGGAAGGGGCGACTGGCAGGGCAGCTGGGGAGCCGTGAGAGGCCATGAAATCAGCCAGCTGCCTCAGTGCCCAAAGGTTGGAGGAGCTGCCACCCTTCTTCATCTGTTCCTGGATCAGCCCATCCAGCTCCTCTCGGAACGACTGAAAATAAAAGAAATAATCACAGCTAATCAGTTCTTTTCAGTGTCGTAAGTCTAAACTTGAACAGTTGAAAACTGAACATTTTCCAATAAAACTTTTCAAAGAGATTTTAAATCCATAAAGACAGAGAGGAGGAACAAAATTGCCCATTATCAATTATTATAGCAAACTTTTATTAATGCACTCTCTGCCTGAAACTTCTTTCACTTTCTGGTTGATTCTCTAAACACGAAACAGTCAGACTAACCTTCAGCTTTGCTTCCAAATTTAATCACGTTAACAGTTTCAGAACAGGTTTATCTCAGTGCAAGAACACAATGACAACTAGGAAAGGAAAAAATAAAAAGAGAAAGCTCATTATCTCACTGGACTCTGAAGGAGGCTCGAGATGCGCTTCTTTCTTTCTCCAGAGACAGGGGTGGAGTGCTGAGGAGACTGGAGGCTCTCAGGGACCCCATCGCTGGGGCTCTGCTGCACAGGGGTCCCCTTTGGGGTGGGAGACTTGCTCATCTTCTACTTTTGTGTAAGAGGGATCTTATAACCAGGCAAAGAACTGCAAGAACAACATAATTAAGAAAGTTGTCTGTGTTGCATTTAAAAGGTGAATAAAATTGAGCAAACCAAGATTTCAAATTACAGTTTGTTAAAAACAAGTTACTAAGAAAAACAAGTGTTTTATTTAGCAAAACCTGATAAAATCATTAGCAACTTGTAAACAAAACAGTCAACATTTACTTAAAACATTTTAATTTCATGTCAGATGAGATGAGAGATGTGTAATATTTAATGAAGTCTATGAAATCTATGCTTTAGAACTTTCAGTCTTCAGTTAAAATGTTAAAGGGGCAATATCATGTAAAAATCAACTTTTTTGAGTTTTATATC